ACTAAGGAATTACCGGTTGTCCACAACCACCATAATAATTCTTTTTCGGGAGTTCTCCAATTTTGCATTCTCGATTGTTGCTTGTCGAACCAAAACACAATCCAGGTCACGACATTTATGACGACTATCGGAGGAGCAACCGTTTGAACTCCTAAGACAAACGCAACTGTGGGCGATGTGCATATACAGTACATTCATCAGCTTGTTGGACAGGAAACAGTAACCTCAACTCTTCAATTTAGGATTGAATAGCAAACCTTTCGAATCATAATACCCATGCCTTTTTCCTAGGAAGTGTAAGAAGGTAACAACCTTCACGGTCTGGTATCCTAGCCAGAAGGTTAGGAATAGGCGTAATTTTGCCAATAGATTCGTTCTCGCCATTGTGTAAATTGTTTATGTGATGTGATGTTATTATGAGGCAGGCAAATATTTGTTAATGAGAACAGAAGATGCGCAATTATTATTTAGATTTGTTCTCTAGCACACCAATAGAAGTCCAAAGATCTTACGTGTAGAAGGGAATACGGATTTTCGCGCCTATATATATATCTACATATACGCAACGCATTATTATTTTCACTACTATTTTCTTGAACAATATCAAAATGATTTCCCTTCTTAACAATAGAATTTTTCATTACATTCATTATATAATGATTGTACATAATGAAATACGTGGGATCATTTTTTTCAACAAAAAAAATTTTTTTTTTTGGCGAAATCCATTATTCGCGGCTCGACATCCATATGTGATCTTGTTATGTGGAATGGTCGATAATGAATTCATGACAATAGAAAATCCATTTCGAAACTAACTAATCAGCCCCAGGGATTCTTTTTTTCTTGATTAACAATGGTGGTTTTTCATGACATTCTTTTTGTTCTCAGATTCCACCATTTTGTGCCGTTGTTCCCTCACGATTCCATCCCCACACCTTGTTTGCAGATGTACCTTTTTTTACATGCAATTGAAGCTGCAAGATGAAATTTTGAACGAGTATAGGAATTTGAGACAATGGGAGAAACGATGAAGAAATTTGCCAGTGTAACAAAGAAAGAACAGAAATATTTAAAAACGCGTCATTTGTTCAACTTTCCATTTGATCGTACAAAGGCACATCAATTCGCTGATACGATATTGTGCTAATGCAGCTTCAGTATGTCAAAAAAAACGCACAGAATTTATATTGCATTTTATAGTAGTACTTGTGTGCATTACGTATTGTGAATGCAAGGTAATGAAGCTCTAAAATAGAGTTACAGAATTTATAGTACTTACGTATGTGCGATATACAATATATATATAGCACACCATACGCCGGGACATATCGTAAACACGTGATGTTGATCGTACATATCTCGGGTGGTCGACATTGCAATAAGTAATTATTTTAATGAAAACTTCCATTTTTGTACAGGCAATGATCGATCGGCAGATGTTGTAAGAATAAAAAAATTCTTTCGGTCTCCCTTCATCCATAATCACACTTTTCCCCTGCGTCCGATAATCAATGTTCCTTTCACATATTCCGTAAAGAAATGGCCAATCTACGAATCTCAACATTTGGTTGTGGACGTCCCTTTGGTCGTAGAAACAATACACTTAGGCTTTTTCTGGTCATTTTATTGTTTGGAACCTGTCTATGGATCTCCATTTTGAGATTTCGAATTGATTTCAGTGATTCTCGGATGAGAACTAAAGTTATTTTTTCGCCAGAAGAGAAAACCCTAAAGGATATACCCGAAAAAGCTTGGATATCTGATATAAGCAAATTAACAGATGATAGAATTAGTTTTTTCAAAAGAGAACAATTTACTGATGATGCATTAAAGGAGAATGGGTTGATTGCTGTGACTGCGATCGTGTTGAACTGGGGAAGAGTCGAGAGTTTACGAGTTTTGGTGAATCACATATCCAAATATCCATACATCAAGGAGATCTTGATTTGGAACAACAACAAAACAATCCTAAAACCACAGGCAAGAGTCAACCTATTTTTACATCAGATTCGATTATGAAATGCTTAAATGATTTATTCAATGACTCCAGAATTTCAAACTTAATAACACCGACGTGATCTTGAATGTGTTCAACTCGGTTGAAAATCTTCAAGATCTATCCAAATACATCATCTGTTCGATGGCAAAATACGATTACTGTTATTTCCAGGATGACGATTGGTTGAACCTATACATGGATAGTGTTTACACCAATTTCTTAAGAAGTCCAAGTTTAATTCATTCCAACACCATGGCAATTATCCATTTAGAACACAGAAGGTGGACGTTTTCCAATGAGGGTAGGTGACACCTGTTCATCCACTATGACAAAAAACACATCGTTCACCGTTCATTTCCTTCTTCTTTGCAAATATTACATTCCAGGCAAAAACCTTCATACCGGATTTACGTGGTTAGGATGCGGATCGTTTGTTCCGCGTGCAAAAGTGTTGAGGTTTTTGGGACAAGTTGGTTCAACTTCCTTGGGGAGAGAACGTCTACGACTGTTGGATATTTATTTTTCTCTGTGGACAAATCAATATCCTTATCAACTTTCAAGCCCTTTGATCCCTTTGGATCAGACAAACGGCTGGAGCAACGGCGTCGATCAATGGTCCGTGGTCTATGCCAATATTGTGAGTATCATTTACGGTTACACTCTAGGTTGTGCGTCGAGACCAATTGCAACGTCGTCTTTGTCATCACATTAATAAATATATTACCAATTTTAGCTCGACGCGGTTCAAAAATTGTACACCGCCTTGGCTACTAACACTGATTCCCAACAATTTATACGCAAAGAAGAAGAACCATATTACTCGAACCGGGATGTAAGGTATTTATTTGTCCTGATTACATTCCTCATCGTCACATCACTTACCCATTTATTTCCTATTGAAAGGGCACCGTGTGCAAACGATAGATGTTTATTCGTCACCAACATTGATCCATTTCCGTATCCATCGAGCGTGTATTATACAAACAACATCACACATGTTCGAGAACAAGAGGCCAAATTCAATGCGTTGACTTTTCCAAGCAACAAATTCTGGAGCAAACATGCTTACCACAATGCCGTGGATATGAACTCGAATACGTGCTGGAATTCATTCAAAAGTAATTATCAGAGATTATACTGCATTCTGTTCATTTTTAATCCCTTTCATTGTCACCGTCCTGTTAAAATTTTTGTGTTCACCACGCCAGTTCCCAAGATCGGCGATTATTTCGGGTTACAATTCGTTGAACCACGAGTGTACAACAAGATTACGATCGTGTCTTCAAAAGATATCAGCAACTTCAACGGATCCTTCATTATTGAAACTTCCCCGGATGGCAATGAATGGGTAACTTGGTCATCGAGTGTTTAACGACGTTTTCTTTCTTTCTTCCTTCTTTCATTCTCATTCACGATGACATCATTCTGCTTTCTACAGCAAATTTGTGACAAAAAATCCTCTTCGCAAGATCATACCGATCCGTCATTGATTCCATCAAGCCACAGCATTGTAATGAGGTTTGATTGTAGATCTGCGAAAAATGACGAGAACGGGCCGTTCGGTTTTATTAGACTCCGGACAATAAGAAGTTTCACGGAGCCAATCGAAATTTGCTCTTTAATCCTAGATGGGTTAAGCGTGTAGTTATATAATATTATCATTAATTATATTGGTCGATGGTATCGTCCTCCCCTTGTAGAGTTTCTTTCATTGTATTTGATTAGAATATAGAATGCTATTAAAATCACGTTAACTAACACAAAATTTTTCTCAGTTAATCACATCTCTGTTTCTATTTATTAGATTGTCACGTTTTAATATAAGAACATTTATTTCGTGATCAATCTCAAAATTTCACATAGACGATAACATTTGATACTCTGGACTCTAGATTATGGATTGTGTAATTGTGCCTTTATTGCAGTCAAGTTGAAAAATGTAGCTTATCTAATACGTCTTCTTTTTTTTTTTTTAATATTAATGAATGTTAGAATTATGTATAATTTTCTACTGGTTACTCCAGTCATTCAATTGTCAACATTTATAGTATGCTGACTATAGCAAGAATCCATGTAAATAATATATTACAATTTTTTATTTTATTATAAAACATTAAGTGCTTACTTATACAGTATATAAATTATTTGAAAATATAAAAAAGACAAAACAAAACAAAATATTTTATAAAGAAATAAATTTTGTTCAATTTTATAATTTCAAATAAATTAAAACATTATCAAAAACACTTATGGCAAATGATAAAAAAACCAGAATTTTTATTGATCCAATGTAACAAGAGTTAAAAACAAAATACTTTATTAATTAAACCAAACATCTTTTTTATAATAAGTTGTTATTTCAATTTCATAAATATAAAAATAAGCAATTATAATTATATATATACAGTATATACATGTATACATATATAGTATGTTATATAAAATCTAACTTTTTGAAAATTTTATTTATCTAATATAATCAAAATATAAAATATATACAGTATATATATACAGTGTGTAACAAAACTTTTTGGAATTTTATTTACGTGACATAAATGTGAATAACTTTTTCAAAACAAA